AATTCAATTGATTATATGATTTAACGGATCAAATAAAAACCCATAAATCTCAAAAACAATGTAAATCTAATAAATTAGAAGGGAAATTAATGCTATTGAAAAATGTCATTGTCAACAAATGTGTGAAGCTAAAGTAGCTAGCAGCCTAGCGTTTCCCAAATTGTAATGTGGGGATAATGACCGTTACAATCTCGACTTAAAAAATTCCTTGAATTGTACTTACATTGTCAAGACCGAGATATTTATATATAAATCAATATGTATTTTATGGAAGTGGGGTTGGGTGCAATAATTGTTGACATCACAAGCAAAGTAAATTAATTTGGACAATAATTTAATACAATTTATTTAGAAAAGTAACTTTACCATTGCTCGAATGAATAAATTGCAATTAAAAAATAGACACAATTAACGAAATTCACAAAAGAAAATAATGAATGGAGAACCCCCAAAATGATCTTGTTGGAGTGAAGCTTGGGACGTCGATAATCTAATAAGTAAGAGGCAAATTAAATATAAACCATATGATGTGCTGCGTAAGATTCAAGCCGTTGATGACGAAATGATACATATATAACAAGATTGTCAATTCAATTCCACTGTTATCGATCCAGCGTAAACAAATGTGGACATAGCTTTTAATTTAGTAATTAATAGTGTTTAGATTACAGTAATAAGAGATAATTAATACAATCCATTAAATTATGGATTAATTGATAGTCATTTGGATTAATTTATATGTACATCTATATCAGCATACTCATATGTGTGCAACAGCTACTCCACTTGGGTGAGAGATACTCATATGCTAGTACACCCAATATGACAGGAGGACAAATGGGTGTCTCTCTTTATCTCTATCTCTCAAAATATATACATACACACATACATATATATATATATATATATATATATATATATATATATATATAATATGTGTGTGTGTGAACTGAAAATGAGAGTCTGCATCAGCTGACGGCCTAACGTGGAGGGACGGTTGACTAAGATATTAGCTGGTCTTCTTGTGTCTGCAGAGTGGCAAATTCATTAAAACAATGGGAAGAAAAAGGCATAGAGTTTTAGAGATACTCAAAACTTTGTAAGATATAATCATGAATCATCATTCTCTTGTCTCATTTTTGTAATGTTTCTAAAAGCAACAGCTTATATTATGAACGTAGCAAATTTAAATGATTAATATATTAATTTTATAAATGAGTTAAAATTTTAATTTAACAATTTTATAACGTTAAAACAATATAATATATTGGATTATATGAATGTTGTATTTTTGTTAAAACAATATAATATATTGGATTATATGAATGTTGTATTTTTGATATAAATAAATATACTATATAATGGTACATTATCATTGTACGAGTGTTGTGTTTATATAAATTCACACAATCATATAATAATAAAAATAATAATAATTAAAAAAAGGTATATAAATATGTACAGTGGGACATTATTTGCCTATAGTGCCCAGCAACGAGTGAGGGCGTCCACATTTCCTTAATTTGTCGGGAAAAAAAAAAATCATATGTGTTGTGAATTTGATTTTTTATTTTTTTAATTTTTTGGTTATCTCAAAAAAAAAAAAAAAAAAAAAAAAAAACATCATGTGTACCTTACACATTCATCGTCCAGTCTCAAATTAAATTTTTATTTTTGGTTATTTCAAAATAAATATCTAATTTAAAAAATTAAAATATTATTTTTTGTAAAATTATCAATTTAACATTTTTACATTTAACTTATAAAAAGTGAACAACCATATCCAATGAACTCACTATGAATTATTTGATAGTTAATTTACTATTAATATAATAATAAAAAAATTTAAAACCTATCATTTTAAAAGTTTCGAAAAGAGAGTTAATTCGAGATAGTTATAGATAGTTAAACCTATGCATTGGACTTGCAGTGACATGACATTTCAAGATCAAATGAAGTATGTTTGTACTCTCCAAAATCCGAATATACTATCAGATTTCTATTTTTATATATATATATATATATATATATATATATAAATGTAGGATTGTCCATTCAAAAAGTGACTGAATACCTTTAAGAAACAATTCTGCCATTTCTTTTTTGTAAAAAGAAAGCTAACAAAAGTGAAATGTAAAGGTTTTTTTTGGGGAATGAATATCATTTACTTACTACTATTGAACTTATGCATTCATTAGATAGATCAATTAAAATACATTCATGAATATATATTATGTCATTTTTAAAATATAAAGTCTTTCGATGGAAATAGTTCCATAAAATATCCTTTTCCTTTGATTATTGTAAATTTTTTGAACTTCAAATAACTAATTTTATGCAACTAAAACTATAAGCATCCACATTTTCCCCTTTGGTCTGATAGTAATATGCATAATGATTTTAAAGCCGAGAAGCTATAAATAATTCTTTGACGGGAATGTTTTTAATCGATCAATATATACAAAAATATAATAAATTATGTCTAAATCTTCGACATAAATATTACTAACACAAAAAGGAGGTGTGAGTGAAAGAATCCAAGGTTAACCTTTAAAATTTTTCTTGAAATTTATCACACGACAAGAACATACAAATTTTGACTTGATTTATTAAAATTAGGATTACGTTAAAGGACTGTAGGGATTTGAGTATCAAAACGACACCAATATGATAACAAAACCAATATTAGAAAGTTGATAACAAAACGACATCAATATGAGAAAACTAAGAACGAATAAGGGTAACATAATAAGTAATAAAAGTACCAAAATACCCTCTGAGAACTCTGTCACAGTAAACGTGACACGTGTCAAGACCACAGCTATGGTGAAGTGACAGGAATAGGATGTACTGTAGAAACGCGTGTGGTCTCTTTCTCTTCACTCTATTTGAGATGTGAAAAAGGTAAATAATAAGGGAGGTTATTTCCCAAAGCTCACGGGCAAATTTACCCTTTTCTGGTTTCACCTCGTAAAAACCCTTTTCTCAACACTTACCTTACCTCGTGACTCGTGTTCAATCTCTCTCTCTTAACGGTCTTAAAGTCATCATCGATATGGAGGAATGGATTGCATTGAGAGAGAAGTTTGAGTTGTTTCGGTTAAGTACATTAGTATCGTTATGATTCTATTAAAATTGGACAAAAATGGTATACTATAAATCTTATCCAATTTTGGATTTTCCAATTTAAGTTACTTATAAACACATCTCAATATTAAAATCTCACTTAACCTCACAAAATTCATATTTAATACTATAGAAAGTTTTAAATTAAATTTTATATGCATGACTTGGTTCTGATAACTTGTCAAATAGGTAAGGAAATGAAAGATTATTATTTTTAATAAAAAAAAAATATGATAGTAAATTAATTAAAATAGATTCTTTTCATTTTTCTAAAATGATTACTATTATTTTATTTATTTTCTTACATTAATCAACCAAACATACATTATCTTCTTTCTTTTTCTTTTTTTTTTAAAAAAAATATATTTTTGTGTCTTAATTAATGTTATCATTTTTGTTTTGGACGGTAGCAAACATAGCCTAAGATAACTAGTGTTATTGATTAACCATATAAAAAAACACATGGATACATAAATAATCCTATCGGGATCAGATTGAATTGGATTGGATTTGTGAATTCACTAATTATTTGGTCATCCTTAATACATTTGTGTTTAAAAAATTACAGGTAGGGCCTACATTCAAGCTGAGATCTCCCATGGTGGTCTATATATATATATAAAGATAAATATATATATATATATTTGTAAATACGATGTGTCATGACAATGTATCTTAACATATAATTAAAATACACAATAAAATTACACAAGGTGAAATGACAATGTATCTTAACATATAATTAAAAAAAAATTTACACGTGTATATTTTAGAATCCATTTGATGTATTATGATATTATTTTTTAAAAATTAATATTTAAATTTGAGCCCTATCAGGTTTGAGACTATTTTTTTTAATATATATATATATATGTATTCACATTGAAAAATGGCATTGGTGTCGCATGTGTTTGTATGTTAAATCGAAATACCTCACTTAACGATCTAGAGAGAGAGAATGACCAAGGAGGACTCAAACTCAGAGTGGTAACATTAGTCACTGGAATTGCTGAATTGGTACGCTTCTCATTTTTTTGACAGCGAGAGGAATGTCACCATTATCATTGTACCTCATTTTGAAAAATATACAACCAAGTCACATCATTTTGATATAAATAGCGCTCTATGATATACTAGACTAATGTTGTGTTTGAAGCAACTTTTGATGTTTTGAATTTAGAATATAAGAAATTTTAATTCAAATTTTTAATCAAATTTTTAAAAAAAAATTTCAAATATAATCTCAAAATGACAGAAGAAAAATATTGAAATTTTTGTCCAAGTCCTATAATCAACCAAGTGTTGTACAGAATGTATAAATATTCTTTAATTTTTCGTTTGAATAAAAAAGTATAAAAAATTCCTAATTTATTTAAAAATAAAAAAATTGGGTTTAAACCTTAAAATTGGTGAAATTGGTGAATGTGAGTGAATTAGGGAGAAATGATTACGTAATCTTAGGATCATTGATTCCGGTAAGTAAAATGTATTGTTCAAAATACTTAATTGTGAATGGTGACTGATGGAGAAATGAAATAATTTGTGGAAAATTAGGTGGGTGGTTCAAACTTTCGCAACCCACAGGGAAGAAGACACGTAGAGCATTACCCACGGAGGTTAACCTGCAGGTGCAGGTGCAGGTCTGTGGCACCAAACTCCTAAACTTAAAATCCCAATTAAGGCCTTGCTTAGCTCACTCTTCTCGGGACTGGACTTAAATGTCATTTCAGTAGCAGTTGTGACACATTTGGCATTTTCTATAAAGTAGAGGGTAAAAAAAAATATTACTCCAATCTCTTTGTCTTGCCTGTCGTCACTCGCTCCACCCAGGTCCCCCACTACTTCGTCCAACCTTTATAAGAGCAGAAAGCGGGAGTTGCAGATAAAGCAAAAGTGAATTGAGAGAGAGAGGGGGAAACAAAAACATGTAAGAGAACGGAGAAGAGAAACTGTGTGTTGTGGTCTTGAGTGATATATATATATATATATATATATATAGAGAGAGAGAGAGAGAGAGAGAGAGAGTGTAATTACGATACTCGCCTGAAAATGATGACCGGAATGGTACACGACCAGAATCTGGAGAAGCAGATAGAGAAACAGATGGGTTGTATGTCTGGTTTTCTCCAGCTCTTCGATCGCCACCAGATGATGACCGGAAAACGATTGTATGCCACCAAGAGACTGCCTCCGACGGTGGTGAGATTGTCATTTCATTTTCTACAATTTGTTTGTTTGCTTCTTTTGTATTTTTTTTGTTGTCTGCTCTGTGTGCAAATGATGATGCCAGAATGTTTGTCTGACCCGATTTGTTTGAAACGTTCAGGCGACTGATTCTACGTCAGAGTCGGAGAAGTCCGTTGGATCTCCGGCGATTTCGAGAGAGCTTGAAAAACCGCAGCAAACGAGAGCAATGACTGCACCTAGTCCAGACCGATTGAAACCGTCGCCGGTGATGGAGCTCCGATCGCCGGTGAAGGAGATTCAGACTCCTGCGGAGATTCCGGCGAAATCACCGCTTCCTCTTCCGGTATTCGAATTGAAGGAAGGAACGAGGTCTTCGTGGAAGTTCTGCAAAGAAGCTCCGAGACTTTCTCTTGACAGCAGAGCCACTGTGGACGCGAAGGGAGGGCTTTACCCGAGGGAGATCCGAACAAACGCTGCGATTCTATCAGCGAATCGATGCGACAACTCCGGAGATGCATCCGGCGGTGACGGCGACGACAAGCACCGCCGGTCGCCGAGCGTCATCGCCAGACTCATGGGACTCGAACCGTTGCCGCAGCATTCAGATCCAGAACCGGTGAAGAAAGCCGAGCTGCGAAGATCTGCGTCGGAGTCCAGAGTTTCAAGAGATTTGTTTCAGTCTCGCTTCATCGACGGTAACAATTACCAGCTAAAGCAAACGAACCACTCGCATTCTCTTTCCAAGTTACCAAACAATGCGACAACAATGGAAAACAACGCAACCAAATCGAATGTCAGGCTCGTAGATCCAATGGAGTACTCTTCCAAAAATGCCAAGTCTGTTTCAGCAAAGGCCTCGCACAGAGGCGCGGTTGGATCGCCATGGAAGTCACATCAGCAACGAAAGAGCTTCTTCGATTCAGAGGACTTCTTCCCGGAGCCAAAGCAACCGGTCTCAATCTACGGAGAGATTGAGAGGAGGTTGAAGATGAGAGGAATCGATGAGCCATCCAAGGATCTAGACACCTTAAAGCAAATCCTCGAAGCTCTGCAACTCAAAGGGCTTCTACATTCTAAGAAGCCTATGCCTACAGAACAAATCAGCCGCAGAAACTTCGTGTACGATCCTCGGAATTTCTCATCCGACGAATCTTCAATTGTCGTGATAAGGCCATCAAGATCACCAATTAACAGAAGATTCGGGAACGAATCGCCTCCTTCCAGTTACAGATGCAGAGCCGGTGTTCGCCGGAATGTTAACCTCGCCGGAGAAAGCCTAAGTCCGCAGCGAAATCGGCCGGACATTGATCGGAGTTTGCAGAATCAACCGACACCTAGAAATTCTTGCTCGCCGACTCGGAGCGAGAGTAATGCGAAGGGTCCAAATTCTCCTCTCAGAAGAAAACCATTGAACGTTGAAACACAGAGGAAGCCAAACGAGTCTGTAGAACAGCAACGAAGAGTCTCTCAGCTTCATTCCCCAAAACTTAGCCCTAGAAGAAGCGTATCAAATCAGACGAACACAAGCCAATCACCAAGACACAAGAAACCAACGGCTGAGATTCATCATCCAAAGGAGAAGCTTGCTATTGTGACAGAGGATGAATCATCCTCTGTTTCCGAGAGCAGTGCTGATACAGAGGTACATTCCATTATTTTTAATTTTATTTTATTTTTGGTAAGTTTAAGTAACTTAGATTGATGTTTGATGATTTGGGTTTTGCAGAGATCGAAAATGGAGGAATACAAAGAAGGGAGGAGTTTATTGGAGAGATGTGATAAGCTTCTTCACAGCATTGCCGAAATGACGGCGACCGAGTTGCAACCGAGTCCGGTATCGGTGCTCGACTCGTCGTTTTACAAGGACGAGTCGTCGTCTTCTCCATCGCCTGTCATGAAACGCAGCATTGATTTCAAAGGTACAGAATATTAATCACTATCTCTATAACTTGGATCAGTACCCATATCGATTTTCAGTTTCGATGACGTCTAGACACAGCTATAGTCTGACCCACTCTCTGTATTTGCTGAGGTGTTTGGTCACTTTTAGACCATTCATGAAATATGTTGCAGACGAATTAGAGACTCTTAGTACCAACTTTAGATTTTAGTATTTGAATTGCAAAAATTGGTACAATATGTGAAAATTTTCAAGATATTTAGGCAAAAGAGTAAAATAGTGTTTCTGGTTAGACAATAAATTTTGTTTTTTTGGTAATTTTATTTCTCAAACTGGCGTGTGATTTGAAATATAAAAAAAAAAATGATTTGTGAATCTAAAATTAATTTTGAAAATAAGTGGGTTGAACTTTACAGAAAGGAAATGGATGCTATTAACTGGCAAATGGTGTGAAATGTAACATGTGATGGGTCTTCTGATGATTGATTACGACGGCGTCTTTTTAAGTCAAACTCATTGATTGAGCATAACTGTAATCGATAACAAAAGGGTTAAATAGGAAAGTGACTGCTATTTCTTTCCTGCTAAAAGATTTACCAGAACAGGAATACTTACCGTACTCATATACATATATACATATATATACACATCTATGTATACATACATGTACAATTTACAGACAGTGCAGAACTTACACATGAATAAAGAAGTACGTAGTAAAAAATATTGGGCACTTTACATTGGCATCGTAACTGAATGTGTTAAATTTTCCTATTAATAGGATTCTCGATTTAATAGTGTTATAATGTAATATGTTGTTTAGATCTTAATAGTGTTGTGTTTTGTGACGTAGCCGGTTGAGCTGTGTAACTTGTGTTATACCAGTGGGTAATTTTTTATTTAGTTCACATTTAAAATATAACTTAATTTTTATTTTGGTTATGGTATTGAAATGATCAGATCAAGCAGGGGAGTGGGAAGAGGAGGTCTGGAGCCCGGCAATCTCACCCGTTGGATCAAAATCCGATGAGAAATCAGACGACTGTGATTTCGTATACATCTCAGAGATCCTTCGTGCTTCCAATTACCTTCCTGAAGACGCAGACGTCTTTCTACTAGTAGAGAAGCAACAGTGTCTCAAAGGAAAGGACACTTCCCCAGTCTCCAGACTCCAAAGGAGGCTAATTTTCGACACAATCAATGAAATTGTTGAACGGAACAGCCAGTTGCCGCCATGGAAAGCCCTCTCGTGGGCAAATTCCGGCACCAGAAAGCCTAGTTTGAATCAAATATGGTCCGAATTCCAGAGAATCCGCGAACGTGACAGTGCGGAAGAATTGTTTGAGATCATATGCGGGGTGCTGCGGAAGGACCTAGCCGGAGACGGAGTCAACGGATGGGGAGATTGTCCGGTGGAGATGTCCGAGGCGGTGTTGGACATCGAACGGCTGATATTCAAGGATCTGGTGGGCGAAACAATCCGGGATCTCGCGGCTTTTGCCGGGAAAAGCATGGTCGCTGTGCCGCGTAGGAAGTTGGTTTTCTAAAACAGGGGGAGGGAGATTAAGGGTTATCTTTGGCGCGCTTTCTTTTTTTTTTTAAAAAAAAATGTTATGTTTTTTCTCACTTTTTTTTTTAATTAAAAGAAAAATGGGAAATGTAGGGGAATCGAAGGTGACTTTTGAAGATCCATAAAAGTTGGGATTGGAAAATATTTATGCAGTGTATGTGAGATTGGAAGCACTAAATTATAGTGTTGTCAATCAAGTAAAATATTGGAAAAAGATGAAAGTGACTAAATTTGGGGCATGGATTTTAGCACTAAAGCGAGGTTTAATCCGTGTGACTTTGTCTCTAAGTAAGGAGTGATGATTTCATTGCCCTAAAGTAGTCCAAGTCTGGGGTCCCTACCTCACATGTCGCTTTTTGGTCTGATCTGGATGATTCGAAATACACTGGTGAGCTATTAACATAAACACGTGTATTGAAAAAGTGAACTCTTAATTAATTAAATCTTAGGCTGTGTTTGTTTGGAGAGAGAGAGAGAGAGAAGGGAACACTTAACTTTTAAAGTTTTGATTAGTTATCATTACTTTAAAACACTTTGTATCTTAGTATCGTAGAAGGGTGCTGAAACTTACATATAACATTTCATCTGTGAGTTGCTAGTATGATAGTTCGTCTATTATCTCGAACCCGCTCACATCATATCTGCCTACAGAGATCATCACATACACATTACGCATATAACATTGTTTTTATACTTTACCCTATAATATATTATATAAAGTAATAATAGTATTATCATAAACACTTGTCTTGAAAAAGTGAACTCTTAATTAATTAAATCTTAGGCTGTGTTTGTTTGGAGGGAGAGAGAGAGAGAGAAGGGAAGGAGGCTCAAAAAGTTGGAGGGAAGGGGAAAAAATAAATGGATGAGACAATTCTTCTGGCTCAATGTTTTTCATTCTCACAAAATTGGCCGGTAAAACATTTAAAAATATGTAGAAATTATCTATGGACGGTCAATTTTAACCAAAATGTTTTACTAAAATTTCAAAATATTTTTAATAATTTGTATTTTATGAAATATTCTCACCCTATTCAGACACAATACGAACCAAAAACTTTCCAGAAAGCACGCTTAACTTTGAAGTTTTGATTAGTTATTATGACTTTCAAACACGTGTCATAGAAGGGTGCTAAAACTTACATATAACACTTCATCTTTCTTAGGTGATGTGAGTTACGAGTGTGATAGTTCATCTACTGCCTGCAGAGATCATCACATACACATTACGCATATAACATTGTTTTTATACTTTACCCTATAATATATTATATAAAATAATAATAGTATTCCCCGTCATAATTTTTTCTAAAATTATACAATGAGCGTAAAGTGGTAAATATATATAAAAATATAAAACACTCAATTTGAAAGTGTCGTCTTTTTATTTCCTTACCCTCTCAAACAACAAAAGGAAATGGACGATGTCATCTTCTCTGTCCTAGAGGATGTCCCCATCCTTCGAAATATTATGTTTGAAGTTATGGGAGAACTTTAGACTTATCAAGAATATTTTCCTTTTTAATGCATTAGTTATGGTATATTTCTTGATTTCTTAGAGAGATTTGTTTTTGACCTTAGAGGCTTGGAAAGTCCCCAAGTTGTGGGTCAGGTTTAGGCGTAGCAAGTGAATTTTTATCATATAGTAGTATTCACTGCATTTAACTTATGAAATAGCATTCTTCCTAATATATATATATATATATATATATATATATATATATATATATAGCAACGATCCCTGATCCCTGATCCCTTCTTTCTCTTTTTTCTCCCTGCTCCCTTCTATGGGAGTAAGGAGGTGCCGTTTTTGTTTCCTACAAGTTCAATAAACTCAGCGTGTGTTAATAAGTTCGCTTTGTGAATATTTTTCGCGTCATTTTTGCTTTTGTTCTGCTCAAAGTCATATAAAGCGTGAGTAGGAGCGAGAGTGAAGCGTGAGAGCAGTAAAATTAAGTCATAAATAATGAGAATTTGAATGAGAGCACGTGCGAAATGTGAAAGTGCTCAGAGCGTGAAAGCAATACTTGTTGAGAAGGATTATGTGACTTAGGTTCGGTTAAATCGGCTTATATTTGGCTTGTTTTTGGTTAGTATGGGTGGATTTACTGTTTTCTCTCTAGCTATATTTCTAATCTATGTCAGTTTTGGTTATCCCCAACTCGATTTGATCTTTTTCACTTGATCTGATCTTTTCCACTTTTGGTAGTTTTCCCTTATCGAACACCTTGTGGATGTAGCTTTGGAACTGTTGCCTTGATGATGGCCAGATCTTTGGGTCTCTCCTGTTGCTGCTCTTCTTCCTTGGTGGTTTTCGTTCTTTAGCTTTGACTTTTGTTCTCAACAAATTTAGAATCTGTTCTTCATTTTTTTCTGTTTTGCTTCAAAATTTATATGCCTTTATCTGACTTGACTCTTGGCTCTACACGGCCATTAATAACTTAACCTCTGTGCCTTTGCAATTGCAAAAAAAATATCCTCTCAGATACTTATTAGAAATGCAAGTATGGTAACATAGACATGATTTCCCCCGTGGCGTACATAGGCATGATTCAAGTGGAAATAAGAACCCTCAATCTTTTATTGGAGAACACTGATATAGGCACCAATTAAACTTTTCAATAAATTGATACTTATATTTGTAAAGTTTGAATCTGATACTGTTAGGTGACCTGTTCATTTTCGTAATTAAATCCTTAATCCATCATCTCCTAATAAGTGAAAGCCTAATACAATAAAAAAAAAAAATTCCCATAAGTAAATTTTTAAATAATAATAATAATAATAAAAAAATTGACACTTTGTTTGTTGGAGTCATTGCAATGGGAGCAATCAGAAATTGTATTCTCAATTATATCATCATCATCCATTTTTGGCAAAACAAAACAAGTTACAATAATCAACATATTTGCCAACCCAACAAGGGGAAAAAGAAGCTGGGTCATTTTGGCTTTAACCAAGACAAATTCATTAGAACAATATCCTACTGATTTTTCACACATTAATTCGGCACTTAAACACACCAGAGATTTTGTGCAGGACTAGGACTTTCTCAACTTCTATAAAAGTGAAAGAGGGGCTACCACGTGAGCATATTACTTTCGAGGTGGGAGAGTCACATGACACTTTTTCTTATTTATTTTATTTTTATGTCCCGACAAATAACTCCACGGTAATTTTGAAGAGCTGTGTTTGATTTGTAAATTGTAAAGTAATTTTTAAAATTTATAAAATAAAAAATTATTTTTAAAGAATTATAAAATGTACGTAGTTATTTGAAAACAAGCTTTTTTTTAAGTAAATTTTTAATAAACAGTTTTCAGAAAATTAAACAAAGAATGAATTTTTGTACCGCTCTGAATGACAAACCAAGATTCTTTTCACTTTAAATGAGAAATTAAATAAATTCTAAAAAAACTTTAAAGGTAGAATGGCCTCCTTTCCAATGAAAGGCACCAAGCAGGGACGGACCTATTAGCATGTGAGGGGGGAGGTGGGCAATTCCTCCCTGAATTTTTAATTTTTTATTAATATACTATGCTATTTTTTTCTTTTTTCAATATATACTCCTAAAATATTACTAATGCCCCCCTTGAAATTATTACAAAATTTCAGTTTTGCCTTCCTTTACCTAAAGTTCTAGGTCCGCCCCTGGCACCAAGAGTAGTAATTCTTAAATTGCTAATTATTTTGTCGAACATTTGATTAATCTGATATTGGTCGCTGTAGTTTTCTTTTCTTTTCTTTTTTTTCTTTCTAATTGATCAAAGTATTGATGTACTGAAATTAATTGGTCCGGAAAAATAAAATTAATTTAATTTTTTAAAAAAAGAAAAGAAAAGAAAAGAAAAATTTCTCCTAACCACTTTGATGCGTTGGAATCAAGTACAAACATGAAAGTAGATGAGATGAAGATGGGCATCACTTGGGTCTTAAATATTTGTGCCTTGAATTATTTCTTTTTTGAAATGTTTTGATCATGCAAATGTATATATTATTGAAACCAGAAAGGCCCAAATCAGGTGGGGTTCTGAAGAGATAAGGACTACCATTAACATGACGCTTAAAATGCTACAAATCCACACGATTCTTTTCCCCACTCATGAACATTGGGGGTCTAATTTGTTTTTGCAATGGTATTTATGTCCTTTTTGCAATGTATGGATACTGAAAAGATAAAAGGCCCAAATGAGAGGTGGGGTTTTGAAGAGATAAGCTTTCCTCCTCTCTCAACATGTGGGCTCCTTTCATCTCTCTTTTCCCATTATGGGCTTCTGGTCCCCTTATTTGAAATATACTCTTTTGCCCATCTCTCCCTCACACACACATATCAATTCTTCATGTTTTCTCCTCTGGGTTATGTTTAGTACAATGAAAAAATATATATATATATATAACTTTAGTTAGTAGAAAAAAGAAAGAAAGAAAATGAGATGATAGTATTGTCATGTATCGTGTTTGGTTGATTAATGATGAAAAATAAAAGAAATGATAGTAATCATATTTGGAAAAAGAAATGATCGAATATTATTTAATGAATTTACTATCATACGGAGTACCTCTTTCCATAGATTTTGTCTTTTAAAAAAATACCAAGAATAAGGGTATAACCGGTATTAGAAAAGTTTTATTAAACTTTATAGCCATTTTCTTTCATTTCTTCCCATTTTTGAAAGGATCACAAAATTCACCCATTATGCTTTATTTGTATCCCTCCATTTCTCTCCAACCAAAATGGGCATGCAGTTTTTCCATTATGCCTTAATGATTTATACTAAACATAATATAACATTTCCCTCTGTAACATTTCTTTTCTTTTCCTTTCATTTCTCTCCAACCAAACTAGGCCTAGCGGTTTGTTCATGGAAGTGGACCTCCTCCTGTTTAGAGGGTCTTGAGCACCAAACTACGTAGTTTTGGGGTATAGACATAGAGTCCAACACGAACACTATGTTAGTACTCCTCGCTTTGAACTTCGTACCGTACACTAAAAAGACCGTAAATTTGTATTCATTCTCCTCGGTACAAATTTTGCACATGCAAAAAAGTTGAAAGCAATAGTTTCTCTAACAAGGCAATAATTGGGGTACTTGCCATCCCAAAAGGGCGCAAGCTTATCCATGTATGCATTGGTGAGACATAGATGGTGCTCTGGCATGGCCACATGCCACTGCAATGTACTAAAACATTGTCTTCTTTAAATTTAAGTGGTACAATTTATCCAGGGATGCAAAAACAACTAAATGACCTCATAATCAGAAACCCTTCAATCCTGTCCAATCCTTGTCTTGGCTGGTTCTCATCTTCGTCCTCATAGTTATGTGTCATTGGGACCTTTTGTCAGATGCCAAATTGACTAAAGCCATGTAACTTCATTATTGGGCATAACTGAGTTGTCTGGGCTTAGTCCCATTGTTTTAATGCCAATATGGTTACAATAACTTGATTGGACTGTTTTATGGGCCAATGGGTACCAGTCAAATTCATTACTTGACCATCTAGAACTGTTAAGTTTTAAAAATTGATGTATTTAATTTGAGCAACAAGGTGTGCAGTGTTACCAGTGTGCTAAAAGTCAGCCTTAAGTGCCCCTGACCCTATTCTGCTACGTTTGTCCTAAATTTAATTTCTCTTCCCCTTAATTCCTACTAACTCCTAACTCACTAATAATTGTCACGTAAAAACAAAAAAAATTGAGCAACAACTCTAATAGCACCTACATATATTTTTGCTGATTTTGGTATATCAGGAATGCTTTGAAAAGTTATGGTTATGTTTTTTCCTTGTTTCCATTCATTTTCTAAATTTCACACTAAATGAGAAATGAGCTTTGTAGGAGTGACAAATATTAGTGATGCAGAAGCATATATTAGGCAACAAGAGTTGTAATCCAATAGGATTTTTTTTTTTTTTCTATCTTTAAAAGTAGATGGTTGAGGATCAAGTTCACATCCTATTCTAAACCTCCGGTAGCACAATTAGGACAGAAGTTTTGAAAATTCAAGAGAATGTAACTGCAAGACAAGCAATTTATAATTACGATAGGTGTCAAGTGCAGGTGTTGTGATGTATGCAGCTGAGGCATCCTAACAGAACATAGTGTTATTTGCCAAAACACCAATTTCTGTATAGATGAGTCCATGTGGAAAAACACAAGCATTGGTTTCCTAAATAGGGCCTAGTCTACAACACTAGGAACTATCAATTGGGCTTAAGAATGGCTGAGACCATAGGCTAATTTGAGATGGGGCAAGGAATGCTGAGCCTCAGAAACAATCATAATCCACAAGCTCACTCACCCTAGCATTTACAACTAAGTTCTTAGTTATAGTATGATCAGAACATACATTATCCAAATCTGCTTATAGCTTAATGTCTACCAAACAACTACCATGTTATCAGAGGAACATCATACAGTAGTGACAGTACAAAATGTTAGCATAGTAATTTTGAGCTAATGATGAAAGGGAAATCAGGAGCCAATTGTAAGACAATGAAACCATTAAGATATAACATAAAGTATCGAAAGAAGATGTAGAAAAATTAAACAGGAACAACATGTGCCAAGTAAATAAAAACATGAACTAAAATCATGTTTCTAACCAAATAATAGTTAAAAGTACCTCAAAAGACAGACAATCATACTAATAGTTCTAAACCAACAATGCATAGAACCAAGTCTAAGTGAACACACCAAAAGTCACAAGGAGAAACATATTGTACATCAGTTAACAGAAATTTGATATTAGAAAGAGATATCTCATTCCTTGGTGCTTTTGTTGATAAGGGATTTGTGGATATGAGGGATCACACCACCTCCAGCAATGGTTCCTTTGATGAGTGTGTCAAGCTCCTCATCTCCTCTAATGGCCAGCTGCAGATGCCTCGGGGTTATTCTCTTCACTTTCAGATCTTTGCTTGCATTTCCGGCCAGCTCAAGTACCTCTGCAGTCAGATATTCAAGAATTGCAGCCGAATAAACAGCAGCCGTGGCCCCAACTCGCCCATTGGCAGATGTTCTTGATTTGAGATGACGGTGAATCCTCCCCACCGGAAACTAAACTCCCTCAAACAGAAACAATACGAATTAGCATGCACTGATATATCAAAACTATCGAGAGAAAAAACAGCTATATCCAAAAAATTGAGTGGTGTTATTTGATCACACAATCTCATTATTACTTAGTGAATGTACAATAACGACCACATAATTCAATGTAAATAAAGAAAAAATGTGCTTGCAAAATCTCTCATTCAGCATCAATAATATGGTTATATAACGATAAGGTCATTTAACAACAAGAAAAATCTTTTCTGTATATTTTTGACATAATAACAATAATACAAGTAGATGTGGATTGCAAATAACTTCATATCATCGAACAGGGAAAAAAGATTCTATCAGCATATTGATGAAAGAGATGCACCAGATGCCCACACAAAGTCATTTGTGATGATTAAATAAGTAGATATGTGTGTGTATATATATATGTAAAATATGACAGTATTAATGGACCAAAAAGCAGCCTGCCACATGACCATTTACTTGCAAGAATATCTTCATGTATTGGCCAATTTAACAGAATAAAGTATACCAATACATGCATCCCATTTAGCTAGATGTATAATTCAGAAAGTTGTGTAAAACATAGAAAGGTTGAGCATGCTTCAATCATACTCTTACCATCATGCAATTCATTTTGGCATGAAATAGCAACACGTTATTGGGAAAGAGCGAGGACTAACCTATACAACATAATTTTGATATGCCTATCTTCTTGAAAAGAATTGTGGTCATGCTTTCAACACATACACAATACTATTCTAAAAACACTGTAATATTGAAACACCAACAGACTCGAAAGCCTGAGGTCATCGCAAGTATGTGTTTTATCACACATTGTAAAACAACTGACATAAAACTGATTATTGCTTTATCCATGGCATAAGGCTATTTCAAATGCTCAACCACAACGTCTCACTCATTATTTTCAATCAACAATCAACCCAATGTTCTAATTTTTTTTTAACAAAACCAGTTACAACCAGCTTTGTAACCCTCATGTTAGTTTGTGAAATTATGAACCGAATTTTATTCCAAATTCAAAACCCATTCTTTCTTCTTCTTTTTTGCCAAACATTATACCTCCAATCTCATACCAGGCCTACCACACAACCAAGCCCATATATGTGCTAGAACAATATACAAGACAGGCAACATATCCTCAAAACATAAGTTTTTGGTAAATTTCCCATAAACATAGTTCATTTTCAATATCTTATAATCATACAATAGAAAACTAGGAATAATATGGTCTCTTCTAATTCAGTAGCTAAGGTATACCGGTCACCAAATTTTAAGGGTGTATAACCAACAATAAACTTAAACACAGCGAGACGATTATAGGTCTGATGGTTTACCTGAAGACCAGCACGAGATGATCGGGAAACCGGCCTCTTCTTGTCCTTCTCCTTGCTCGCTGCTGTGGTTTTTCCGGCCAAAAGCCCTTTCCCTCCCTTGCCCGCCATCTTTCAACCTGAATAAACTTCAATTTCAATTCTTTTTTGTTTTGGTAAGTGATTAAATTCAGATTCATTCCCAAAACAAATTCACGGACAATAAACATCGAAGGCCGCAAAAACCCTTATAAAGTCTTTCTTTTTTTGGTAAAAATAAAATCTTAATGAAGTTACAACCCTATAATGATAAAAAATAAAAATAATAAAATATTGAATTGACAGAAAAACAAGATCTCATCGAAACAACATCGCAAAATCCCCAAAATTATATATTTTAGAGAAAATGGATATAGAAAATGCGATGTATTGTAGAGAAAAAAATAAAACCCAGTACTGGAAGGAAGTTCAACGTTTCAATTCAAGGATTCCTCACAAAACCCACAAATAAAATCAAAAACAGAACAAAGAGATGCGCATATATACATATATATACACACATACAGATGAATATATATAAATTATAGATAGATATAAAGATAAAAATAGAGAGAGAAAGTGTGTAGAGAGAGAAAACCTGAGATCTGTGGAGACCAAAGAGGGACGAAATTTCAGAGAGGAGTAAATGAAAGACTAGAGGCAAAATGGCGCTTTGGATTCAACTTTTATTTTGCGTTGGAATTTTGAACGACGAAAGCTAAAATGGCGGTTCCTTTAGGTGGGAAAAGGGATTTTCGGATTTCAAAATTTTGCCAATTTACCAAAGTATCCTTTTCCGTATCCATAATTACTAGTACGCCCAATCAGACCTGACCCAGAAAATCAAAGCCTCTTCATTGGAGGGTCTTCTCTAGTGGCCCAAGTCCAACCCAAAAGTTACCATTGTGTAACTGGGCCTAGTACAATTTTTATTCAATGAGACCCTTCAAAGCTTCAAATATATTTCCAAAATAAATGAGAGAAACATTTTATTTTAATTTTGTTGATTTGGTGGTGTCAGGTCTCTTATAGATATAATACACTATAATTCATCATAGGGTATATGAAATCCTCTCGTTCCACATTGTGGAAAATTTTCCACTGGTGACCCTAAGAAAAACACACTATAAATCTTGTGGTTTTGTAACACATTTTGAAATCTTCAAATGTTTTTCGTAGTGTTGGAGAGCAGCTTACAACCCTCCTCCTCGGCAAAGCCATTGTTGGTACCAATGAAAAATCTCTCGATATCAAAATTATTAAGGGTGCAATTTAAGTCACATATAGCGGGTGTAGGAGTGAGAATGAGTGTGAGAGAAGCAAGCGCAGAAGCCTACTCCAAAAATATATATATATATATATTATTCCACCCAAAGAAATATTAGCCCACCCCCATTGACAATTCCTGGATCTGCCATTGAGAGAGACTGCGAAAGTGGCAAAATCTAAATCACACGAGAACAACATCGAGAGTGTACATGAAATATGAGAGAAGGAGCGCGTGGAACGTAAGAATAACACCCGTTTAAAAGAATTGTGTAACTTATGGTATAACTTAAAATGTTACACAATTTTCAGAAGCTTAGATGGTATTTTGTACATATTCGGCCTAAATTGAAAAACCAACCCAAATTTATTTCTTATTTACGTCTGAATCAGCCCACACCCAAGTCAAATTGGCCTTATAAGAATTTGAATTCTGACCCAACTTCCTTTATATAGTTGTTTACATGTTTTTAAATGTTGATTTCTCAATGTGCTTGGAACTTCAATAGCGTCACAGTTTTTTGTTCACCTACCAAGCACATTCACTTTCTTTTCATAACCGAACAAAATCGAATCATATAAACATCTAATTTTAGTACAATAATGAAAGCAATTTGGTAAAATTGTTATGAAAACATAAAGTGTTGTTTTTAACAATAACAAAAATATTATTTCATGAAAAACCAAGAAAAAGTAATTAACCTAAAAATAGGCATTCATTAGCAATAATCTAAAAGAGGATAGGTCTACGATGCAGCTTTATTATGGTACTTATTACACATCTGTAGAATTATTGTTACTACATTTTAAAAACTTTATTGTAATTTGTAAATGGAGCTGGATTAAATTAACCTTAACATATGATAACGTGGGACCTCCAGCTTTTGTCTCAATCAATGGGCATAAACGTGTCAATCTTTCTTGTGTTGCACACATTATAAAGTAGAAACAAAAAGAAAAGATTAAAAATAATTACAAAGATAATCTCTTTGCGATGTGCTCGAGAACAATCGACAACAAGAAGGAAAAAGCAATCCATGGAGAGAGAAAAAGAGATGTGTGATTGGGTTAAGTCCAAAATCAAAGTTTGATTTCTCAATTATATATATATATATATAGATATATATATAAAATAATGTAACGATAAAGTCGATCTCATAACATTATCACCAACGTTTTGTTTTATAAGAAGATAATATATTCAAAATTTTGCATTAAAATTTAACTGAAGTCTTTCTAGGTGAGAAGGTATACAGTGTAGATCAGAATACATTTTTTTTAATTACTAAATTAAAAATGATTAGGACATGTATCATTGTTAATTTGATAATACAAAAAAAAAATGTCCATTTTTTATTAGTTTAAGTTTGTAGTGAGGACCGTGTACATTCTTTCTAAAATTTATTTATGTTGTGTTTAGGAGTACTGAATAAATAATTTGAAACTGAAATTAAAAAACAATTGTTAAAACTTTAAACTAAATTTTTATCAATCCTAAATTCAAAATATCGGAATTCTCAAATGCAACATTACATTAAGGAATCAATCAAAATTTTACATTAAGGAGAGTTTATGACAACTGTTATGAGGTGGAGTTTATGTTTATCTCATCTATTACTCTTGTATGTGTGTGTCTATATGTGTGTGTGTGTGTGTGTGTTTGCATTGGGAGAGAGAGAGATTATATCTACTTTATGTAAGGTTGGTAAGCTAATCTAGTGTTCTGCTAACATATTGAGTTTGGTTAGTTGAACAGTATATTTGACACAGTTGGAACATGGTTGGTCATGGTCCCCCTCTTCATGTGTTACACTTGGTGATAATCATGATCAAACATTATTCTTAATTTGTTTTCTTCTTCTTGTTGTGTAACAACTGGTATTCATCCCCATTTGGTGGAATTGAACTCCTGTTGTCCCATTAATGGGGAGCTACAAGTAACAAATTTCTGGTACACATAGGTTGTGTTACACTAAAATTGTTACTATTAATAATTCATATTAATTAGTATTCAAACAAATAATAGTTTCCCTTATGTTAGTGTCATTCCATGTATATAATTAATCAGGTATGATTTAGTGGTCTAGTTGGTAGAGTGCTTAATTTTTACAATATGTGTGATTGTGTTTGAGTCCCTCCTCACTTAATTAGTCAAGATTTAAAATTAAAAAAAAAAAAAAATGTATGTAATTAATTTGGTAAATATGAAGCAAAAAATGAAATATATTGGATAAAAAAATTGTATATCGTGAATTTTTTTTTTTTTTTGACACGTATATCATGAGTCATAATCCATATTAAAAGAAAATTCATGGCTAATCCAAGTAATTGGATAAAATAGTTGAAGAATATAATTAATGAAACAAGTACAATTCCCTGGTTATACCAGAATTTGTCATAAATATTAAATAAAATTTTATACAAAATATAGGCTTGTTTGATCCAACTTTCTAAAAATAGTTTTTACAAATTTAGAAAATATTTTTACAAAACACAAGTCTGTTTTTAATGAGTTTTAAAATAACAACTATCAACCTAAAATGTTGTTTTTGATACAATTTTCAAATTTTTAGTTCTTATAAAACTGTTTTCAAAGATAGCTATGCAAGTTTGCAACTGCACTTTATAGATAACCTGTTCCATCGGAACTCATTCCGTCCCACCTCTATTAGGACGGATTTGGGACAGGTGGGATAGATTGGGATCACCCTATTAGGACTAGGGTTGAATTTGAGACGAGAATTTTAAAACTTACGTAGTCTCAAATTTATATTGATTAATAATTAATATATAAATATATATTCTTATATTAACTATTTAAAAAAAAAATTTATTAATGGAACGAGTTTGGAAAAGAGGTTGATCCTGGTCTTTTTAACAACCCTAAACTTGACTTAACTGCCAACCTATAAAAGTTGAATCCGGAGGAAAAATTCCATTACCCCTTACCAATGTTTGTTTTACAGAATCTGTGGATGAACTACCATTTTTGCTGTGGGTGATATAATTATCCTTGACAAAGACTAGTTAGTGGGTAGACCAACAAATGGGGTCACAATAATCAATTTGGGGTCTTATTATGACCCACATATATATATAGGTCTATAATTTGTGCCCTCTAGGGTTAACCTTTTACTCTCACTAGGTTTGGATTATGTCACTGTGGTACTACCCATGGGTTTTTGGAAGGCATATCTTATCAATAATTGGCACAGAAATGCATATACAGCATAAAAATATATGTGGGTCCAAAATTGGATTTTGACACTTCATCTACCATCCTATTTTGTAGCAAAAGTTTAAAGGTCACACACCATTGCTCATGGGTCTACCTCAAATGCAATGACTTGATGAAAGAGATGTTATCTAAAAATATATATAATGAAATAAAAAAATTAAATTTACACACCATATGAGCCCAAAAAAAAAAAAAAAAACAAATACTTACAAAATACTAACATATAGTATATATTTAAGAAGAATATATTAGGCATACTAATAAACCACCATGAGTTTCTTTACTAACCATATGGGATCTAATTAGGAATGACAATAGGGGGGTTTTGGACAAGTGACCTTCTCCTACCCTATCTTCATCCAAAACTGCTTAAACTCCCATCCAAAACTGCTTAAACGGGATACTTTGTGACTCCATTCCAATCTCCTTTATATTTTTTCACCCCGGGGGCACCGGCCCCGTCCCACCCCGTTTACTCCCAAATGCCTTTTCCTGTTTTAAAATATTTTTTCTCCCTAAACTCAATTATATAGGTATATAACCCACAAGAAAAGCATTATCAATAATAGTTTAACATAAAATTCAAATTACAATTATTCTATAATAGCAACCGTATACATTCCAAACTAAAATTAAACTTAATAGTAAAATTAAACCTGAATAGGACAGTCACTAAAACCGTGCAAGTTTTTTCCCATAAAACCATCCCCGCTCAAATTCCTTAAATGGTTCCCCAAATCGATTTAAACATGACGGAGCGGGAAGGGCACCCGCCCCCATGGGCCAAATTGTCATCCCTTAACTCAATAGTTGTACAATTTTTAGTACTCTTTGGAGCTTGTGAAGGGTAAAAGTAGCTCTATTAATAATGTGAAGTTAGAGCTTTTTTAAATGATATTAAACCAAAGTTGATGAAAATCACCAAGAATGTGAAGTTGAAAATGTGTCAAATCCAACTTTTATACCAATTTGAGGAGTTCAGCCTATACTTTGAATTTGCAATGGTTTTACTCAAGCTCAAGTTGAGTGGATAATGAAATTTTGGTTATATGTAGTAATTCATAGTTGGAAGTGTCAATCCCTGGAGTTACAGGGGTTTGAGAGGTAAGTTCTTAAGATCTCATTTTCAAATCGAACTCCTAATTTGAATGGTGCGTGTGTTGTAGAGCTGATACACACGCTCTAAGAATGAA